TTTGAGTTTTCAAAGTATTACAGCGAACAGTAAGTGTAGATGAGCATGTTTTGTAGTCTGCTTTTGGGATCTGATAAAGCTCTTGGACCCGGAAACAGTGATGCATAATGTCAGACTCAACAAGCAGATAGTGTTATTGCAGCTCAGTTAGTTCAAGCAGTGATTCTACCTGAAGAGAATCAAGTTTAGTCTTTAAATCTGAAAGTAGCATCATTGGACAAACTTTGGCTGTGTGTACCAAACTAATTTGATACAAAAAAGAACTTAGAACTGCAAATAATGTTAAAAACTCCATCTTTCCACCCACACTGTAAAATTACTTTTATTTATGCACTATTTTATAAAAGTGTGGACCAAAGGCACCATGAAATCAGGACAACAAAGAAACAGTGTCATCAAAGGAAAACTGTTTGCTGAGTGCTCTTCAGGAAGTTCCTGTAGGGTATCTCTTCTAAAATGCGGGCTCTTTTATTATTTGGGAAGTCCTAACAATAATGTGTTTTTGAGTTGGCCTAAATTTGTCTTTAGCATACATATTATGTACCCTGCCTAGCCCAAAAAAAACACTGTCGCCATTTGCATTTTAATAATCAAATACTGAAGAATGCCAAGATTCACCAGGCTCAGTTTGTGAAATAGTGGTTCAGTGAGCATGAGGAATCATTTTCATGTATGAATTGGCCACCACAGAGTCCTGACCTTAACGCTATTGAAAGTCTTTAGGATGTGCTGGACTCGACTTTACAGAGTGGTTCAGTGCTCCCATTAAATACAAGATCTCAGCCAAAAATGAACGCAACTCTTGATGGAAATAAATGTTGTAATGCCATAACGAAAGCATAATGTTATCAAAGCTAAAGGCGGTCCAATTAAATATCAGAGTTCTGCAGATGATATACTGACAATGAACAAATTAAAGAACACAGATACACCCAGCTTATTTCTATAATGACCAACAAAATCTACCAAGAGCAGCAAAATTATCAGCTATCGTCAGGGGCGCCTTAAGATAACCAAAGGCGCCCCTGGGCTACAGCATTACAGTAGGCCCCCTGACCCCAGAAAACCTCTTTTTTTTAAGCTTCCTAAAAATTATTAGTCAAATTTCGTTTTTTGTCTTGTTAATATGCCAGTTAACATTCACAACACTGTTCTGCGTAAAATGTGAATATAAGCGAATATGCAAATTTACTCTTTGCCACAAGGTGGCGCTTGTGGAACAGCAGAATTATATAGACGTTACATAAAGTAAACACTACGTTATTACGGGCATTATATGGAGGTAATACGAAAGGAAAATGCCATCAAAATGTTCCTGGCTGAAATATGAGTTTACAGGTATGATTTAAACAGCATAAATCACACAAAATATTAATTATTCATCATCAGTAGAGCAAAACACATAGCATGTTGACATAAATGTGGGTTATTTGGTGATTGCTAACTGCTTTTTTATTTTGAAACATGACGTGCTCAAGTTTAATTAGTTAAATCACAGCCCTATAAAGTTTAATGATCACATTTAAGCAATAGGACAATTCCTATTTTTCCATCCCCGGATTTAAAATGGAGACTTTGAGGCCCAGTGTTCTATTGATTTGTGCTACCCTGTTAGATTTTGCTACCTCCCATTAAAACAGTGGGTAGTACAATTCGACAACAAAAAATGATACCTGTAAAATTATGGTTTATTAACGTCTACACCTACCCCAACCCTAAACCTACCCT